CAAAAGCACATTTTAAATCTTATTTTTATACTTTCCCATATTGAATAGAACAGGGCAAGTGGATCAGATACCTAAGCTCATATCAACAATTTAATTAGGAATTCACAGAATTTATCTTATTAACACTTTTTTAAAAGTTAATTTATAGCCTTCATACCACTTGTTGTTATGTTAAAGAAGAAACTTAAAACCTCACTAAAAGAATTTAAATGTTTTTGAGGAAACAAATCAAATCACTAAATCTTAAATTTTAGGCCATCATAAGTGGGATGTAAAAGTTGGCCCTTTAAAATTTACTAATCAAGATGCATACGAAGTTAAGGAATTGTGAATATTTTTCCTGTCAGTTTTGAAACTTTATTTATGCACATGGTTTAAATGATAATCTGAAAACTTTCAGAAATACTTTAACATAAACCTTTAAGAAAAATAAGAAGTTGAGAGTGATAGTGGCGAGGTTTTTAATTTTGCAGACAAGACATAGGTCCAATATAGCATTTCTTCTTTACTGATTTATTTTAAAATTGTTTTGTGCTCATTTTGTTCCTTTCTTTTTTCCTATCCTTTCCTTTCTTTCTCTCTAATAATTTTATACATTCCCTAGATTATTTTTCTCCTTTAGTATTATACCCAAAAGAAGCAGAATAAAGCCATTGTATTGATTTCCTGTAAGTGCCTGTTCTCTCTGGTAAAGTGTTAGAAGTCATTATTGGCCAGCTCAGATGAAAAGAAAAATATGCAGAGTAATACAAAGGGAAGTCTTTGTATCATCAAAGAACTTCAGTTTATTATACATCAGGCAGGTTTGGGATATTTTGTTTATTTTTTTTTCCCTTAGAAATGCTAAGTATTTTCTAGCCAACAGTGTTTGTAGGTGTTGGGCAGGAGAAAAACTAAAGGAAGTGGAACTACCAGTACATAATAAATTAAAAAATAAATGTTTATACTATTAAACAAGCCAGTTCACTCTCTTCTATACTTATTTTAATCCTTATTATCTGTCTCTTTTCCCAAAATGTCAAATCATAGGTCTCAAATTTGTTGAACACTGAATCTTTTACAGGGAGCTCTGTTAGCATAGTTGCTAAGGCACTTGACTGCTAACCAGAAGGCTGGTGGTTCATATCCACTAGCCACACAGATGGAAGATGGGGCAATCTACTTCCATAGTGATACTGCCTCAGAAACCCAAGAGGGGTCACTATGAGTCGGGTCCGACTCGACTGCACATAACAACAACAAACAAATCTTTAATATTCTCTATCCTGTGTGGTCAATGGCATCCAACACATTCCCTCTTCTCTGCTTGTTTTGAAACAAAACAAACTGATCTCATCCTAAAACATGCCCATATTCAGTATCAGAAGAAAATTTTGACAAGAATTTTTCAGCAGAATTTTAAGAAAGTAAAAAGACCATAAAGCACACCAAAGATATAACCACACTAAAGATAAAAGTTTTTTTCCAAGCTCTTGGTCACCTTGAAAACCATCCCATACTTTGATCATTCTTTATGAGGTCAGTCATAAACCTTAAAATGTCTATAACCTTTGATCCAGAAATCATGTGTCTTGCATCCTATCCTAAGAAAATAATGAAAAATTTGATATTACCTTAGGTAATAAAATACTCACTAAAATATTATTGATCATAGTTAAAATAGAAAATATTAAAATATCTAACAATAGGGAAATGGTTAAATTATGAGAGAACCACAGGATTTAAACATGCTTATAAAGATTACATAATAATATGTAAAATACCTACAATGTTAAGAATAAAAAGCAGAATACAACATTTTACAAAACTGTTACATATTTTATAAACCCTCAGTTTAGAAATGAGAAGCCTAATAAAATGCTGCAAGTGATATTTTTTGTGTGATAAAGCTATGAGTAATTTTTCCAAAAAAAAGAAATTGTTTCTCTATTTTTAAATATTTCACATGTATATAATAATCTGTTAATGAAAAATAAACATTAATAAAGAGACTTGCTACATATATTAGAGCTTAACAAAAATAAATGTTCACAAGCTTAGTTATCCAATGTTAAATGTACCTTAACAAAAGGATAATAAAATGTTTTAAACTAAAGATGTTATCAAGTCAAGAACACAGAATTGACAATGTATTTGATAAAAAAATAATAAATGCTTTTGAGAAAAATAATAAACTAATACTGTTTGAGCTTCACAAATCAAAAATAAACAAAACTACTATCTTCTCGGTGACATGATCGTAGTCTGACATATCTACTATTCTGCCATCACCTAATTACAACCTATATTATATGCATCCTATTTTACAAAGAGATATTTACTTACATAAATCCAGGTAAACAATCTAGTTTTCTAAAGTGGAAATAGAAAAAAAAATCATGTCAATGTTACTACTAGAATTTAACACCTTTACGAAAGTATGCATTACACCTCAAAGTAAAGAAAATGAAAATCCTCACAACTGAAGCAATAAGCGGCATCATGATAAACAGAGAAACGACTGAAGTTGTCAAGAATTTTGTTTTACTTGAATTCACAACCAACACCCACAGAAGCAGCAGTCAAGAAATCAAACGATGTATATTGCTTTTGGCAAATCTGCTGCAAAAGACCTCTCTAAAGTGTTAAAGAACAAAGATGTTACTTTGAAGACTAAGGTGCACCTGACCCAAGCCATGGTATTTTCAATTGTTTCAGATGCATGCCAAAGCTGGATAATGAATAAGGACAACTGAAGAAGAATTGATCCACTGAATTATGATGTTGGCTATTGAATATACCATGGACTGTCAGTAAAATGAACAAATTTGTGTTAAAGAAGTTCACCCAGAATGCTCCTTAAAAGCAAGGATTGCAAGATTTCATCTCTCCCATACTTTGTTCATATTATCAGGAGGGACTGGTCCCTGGAGAAGATTATCATGCTTAGTAAAGTAGATGGTCAGCAAAAAAGGGGAAAACCCTCAACGGGAAGGTTTGACAAGTTTTCTAGGATACGCGTAATATGTACTAAGAATTTAACAATGAAATCCATGTTCAAAGATTTGAGGTGTTATATAAAAGTGTTTTAAATATACTTTAACATGATTTTGACATATTTAGACTAACCCTTTTGGAAAATATTGGGAGCCTTTGTGTTATAATTCTAGGGCAAATGTTGGCAAACTTTTTCAATAAAGGGTCAGATAGTAAATATTTTAGGAGCTCTTGTGGTGCAGTGCCTAAGGCATTTGACTGCTAAGCAAATGGTTGGCAGTTCAAACCCACCAGCCACTCCTCAGAAGGAAGATGGGGCAACCTACTTCCGTAAAGATTTACCACATTTACCACTGTAAAGATTTACCCCATGGGAGTTGCTATGAGTCAGAATTGACTCAATGACAGTGGGTTTGGTTTTTTTGGTTTCGTAAATACTTTACGCTTTGTAGCCATGGTCTCTATTGAAACAATTGAACACTGTCATTCTAATGCAAAAACAGTCATTGACAGTATGTAAATAAATGAGAATCACTGTATTCCAACAAAACTTTATTCATAGACACTGAAACTTGAATTTCATAAAATTTCCACATGTCATGAAATATTCTTCTTTGAGTGTTTCAACCATTAAAAAACCCAAAAATTATTTGTAGTTTTCAGGCCATACAAAAAGAGTTGGTAGGCTGGATTTGGCCTATAGGCCATAGTTTTCCAAGCTCTTTTGTAGAATTATTTTAAATAATATATGTCAGGGTCATATCCCTTGTTATACCCCACTATGTGGAATGCATTTATCTTCCTACATCTCACCTTCAATGTACCTAACTTTTAAAATCTTCCCAAAACACGTCTTTCAAGTTGTCCTTAGCTAAATGGAATTTCTTTTACTTTGAAGCCCCATAGCATTTTGTATTTTCTCTGATTTTACTTATTAGTACTGAACTTTGTCCAGTTATGTGGGTGCCAGCTCTTCCTCTTAACATTTCATGATAAAAATCTTGTTATGCAATTCTTATTGACCACACTGCCTTCCATGCAGAAGGAAGCTATTAATATTTGAATTCAAAGATAGTTATTCAATGTCCTCAATTCTTAGATGCAAATTCCAATGGGTTAATAATAGACTTGAAGGACTTGCAAGAAATATTTAGGGGCTCTGGTTGCACAGTGGTTAACTCTGTTGCTTAACCAAAAGGTTGACAATTTGAACCCACCAGCTGCTCCACGGGAGAAAGATGTGGCAGTCTGCTTCTGTGAAGATCCACAGTCTTATAAACATATTAATAAGTTTTAAACAATAGCTGAATTTTAGAAATACTAAAATGTGAAAACAAAATCATATCTTGGAATCAGGAAGAACACCCACCATGTTGGCAGGAGGAGATAGATGAGAAAGAGAAAGAAGACCACAGTACCCATCACAAGTCTACAGGGTGTCTATGTGAGATCCAGGCCTCTGAAAGGTGCAACTGCTCTGTCCACAGGTCACAAGTCAGTTCTTTAACTGTCCTCCTAAAGTTGAGAAAAGTATAAGACCTTCCAATGTGCCAGGCACTGATTATTCTGATACACTTCACTCTTTCCTATGTCAAACAGAACTTCCTATATACCCAGGGAAACCATGGCTCAAGAAGTTACTCAGTTTCAGAAAAGAACTCAAAGGAAAATTTGGAATTTTTAATTAAATTTTCTTATGTCTTATAAATTGCTCAGATAAAATAAGGAACTGTGAAAACATCTTGTCTGATTCAAATCCTGGGACTGCCCTTATTAGTTGTTTAATCCTTGGAAATTTATTTAAATTCTCTAAACCACAATTTCTTCATCTGAAAAAAAGAGATCATGATAATAGAACCTAATTATGGGCTGTTGTGAGGATTAGATGAGTTAATACATGCAAACATTTAGGGCAGTGCCTGGTATGTAGTAAGCAGTAGATCACTGTCAGCTATGTACATGTATATGATAGATAGCTAAGAACAAGCAGCATCACTAGTATTAAATAATCTCTAAAAAGCCACACATATCCTTGCCTTCAGACATGTATTGTATTTTATTTGATTCTTGAGATGGAATTAGTATAGGAAAGAATTTACAGAAAATATGAAACAGGCTATATAAGAGTAAGTAATGTTCAAAATGCAATAAGAGGGAAAACAGCAAGCTGAAAATACATGTATGATTATGTGACAAAGAGAGAAACAAGAAAGAAATTAATCTTTCTGGCATTATTACAATTATACACCCAATGCTTTCAGAGTGCAATGAAAAAATCAACTTCCATGCACAGGGACAATAGTGGTTCAACTCAATGGCCATACTTACCACCTCCTTTCTTCACCCCAGGGGAACCTGCCTTTTCATCCTTTGCATTAGTAGTGCTTCCTTCCCAAAGCTTTCTCTTAGTCTTTTCCTTTTCTTCCTTGGAAATATGATCTCTGGACTTCACTGATAAGCCTTCTGTAGTCACTTGGGCCCCCTCTTCCATTTCCTCTTTAAGAGCATTATCATAGTTTTCCTCTGCTGGCACTGGCTTGGTCTCCACTTCTGCTTTTATTATTTCTTGATCTAGAGTTTCAGTTTCTAGGGATTCCTCAACTGGCAGATGGGGTTTTCCTGACTCATCATTTTCACTCAGCTCCCGAGAAGATGGGCTTCTGGCACTTTCTTCTGAACTGTTTTCAGTGTGAGCATCCCTGTCTTCCACTGAAGATTCTTCTTCACTGCAACTAGAATTTCGGTGACTTCTGGATGAGATTGATGAAGCAGTTTTTCTATCTATAAAAATTTAAATGATGACATCATTGTATTTCCATAAAGCAGTTGGTTTAATTATGGTAAAATTACATTAGTCTTTGACCATATAAGAAATAATATAGATCAATAGATTTGATACCCTATTCCCATATACTCCACATAGAAGTCATGATTAAAAAAAAAAAAAACCTGTGAATTTATGAGTCTATATAAAACTTTTTAACATTGAAAACCAATCTTATTGTTTTGAATTTTTTGAAAGCCATTTTATTAGAAAATCTTTATAAATATCTACATTGCTATATAATGCATTGAATAATTCTTTGGACAGCAAAAACACTTACTTAGTTATCCTGTTGTATAGCCACAGTATTTTCTGTGCATGAAATTTCAATTTTAGCTGCCGGATATCCCACCATCCTAGTATACTCTGGTAGCTGTGTGGTTAGAAGAACCACCCATTTTCATAGTTCCTACACATAATAAATATTTCAAGTTCACGCTCAGGATGATTCTCCAACCTATCAGGTATGTGTAGAAGGAGATGTTGTCTTTGGTCATGTTCCCCAGAAACAGGTACTGAGAAGAGAATTCACATGGAAAGTGTTTATTAAAGATGTGATCCAGGAAAAATTCTTAAGGGAGTACAGGAAGCAGAGTAGTTGAAGCAGAACAGGGAAGGGGAAGAAGTCAATCAAGGGTGCTGTTTCAAGCAACACTGCAGCCTCAGATGCAGGGAACTGTGAAATATAAATTACATTAACGTTTGTCCTTCCCTTGAGGAAAGATACTGGGCTTTCACCTTCTGCATGACTCAGACAATAGCTGCACTTCACGTTAGTGGAATATAGATTCTAAGACACTTCCATGCTTTCTGTGCTGAGGACAAAGCAACTCCAGTCATCCAGAGCAGTCCTTCAAAGTATTGGGGTGGGGAGTGCTTTACATACAGAATTTCTAAGAGGGCTTCTAGGAGACGTAGGCAGAACACTGATGTGTGCTTCAAATATGCAGTCTAGAAACTTGCCAAAAGTGGTTGATGTGCTCCCCAAAAGTTTAAAAAGTCTCCAAAAAGTAGCATACACACTGAATCTCTTTATGGAAGAAACATATAAATATCAGTAGATCTGCATATAATTGCTTTTACTTTTGTAAAAATATCTATAACACATCATCATCCAATTCAACATTTTTCACATGTACAACTCAGTGACATCAATCATGCATGCAACCATCACCAATATCTGTAATTGTTTTTTATAGAAGATATTTTCAAATGAAGTATCCTACACTTAAATTCTGCCTAGCTTTGTTGTCCCTGTTCTGTGTGCTACTTTGACTTTTTTCTGTTCCTTTTATTTCTGCTTGGCACCTGCACAGATGGCTATAGTAGCTGATACATAGTTTAAGGGAAGAAATGTCTTCTCTTTCCAGTTATGCTCTTCTCTTCATCCCTCCAGCCCCACCAGCTCTTCAGGACATGTCTCAGCTTTTTAAGTATAGTCTCAGAGACATATCAGAGTTTCCACAAAGATTTGAGAGATGTTACAAGCAGTCAAGAAAAATAAAAATCCTCTAAAAAGCCTTTAGGCAACAGAACCCCTTAGATACAATTCCATTTGTTCTAATCTCCCAACTACCTTGACAGGTACCAGATGACTGTTATTTCTCAAAGGAATCACATACTTAAGCCACTCATTCTTTATCTCCATTTTATAAAATTTGGATATGCTGTCTCCGTGTAGGAAACAAAGTAGATCAAGGACAGTTTTTCTCCATCTTATTTGTAACACATCAAAACCTTAGCAACTATGATCTCTTTCTCCCTTTGCAGTCTTAAAAAAAATTGCTTTGTTAAGAAGAAAAACAACTCTTTTGTTATCAGTTTAATCAATGCCTTTCAAACATTGAACAATTAGCTAGGAAGTGTTACACTTATTCTGAGTTTCTAAAAATATGCATAATCTACCATCTGAGTAGGAGCTCTGGTGATGTAGTGTCTAAGGCATTTGACAGCTAACCAGAAGGCTGTGGTTCAAACCCATCAGCCACTCCTCAAAAGGAAGATTGGACAATCTACTTCTGTAGAGATACCACCTTGGAAACCCAAGGAGGGGTCGCTATGAGTCAAATCAACTCAACGGCAGTGAGTTTTTGTTTTTACCATCTGAATATTGACATAACTCCTACTTTTGGCTCTGGGAGTCAC